TGATGATTAACAAATAATTTTTAATCTTGTTTTCTAGTATTTGTGTTTTTCCTCTAACATGAATCCAGGTCGGAGGTTGGAAGGATTTGTTCCTTAACGACGATATTTTGGAGGTTGGAAGGATATTGAAATAAAGTCGTCGTAATTTCAAGTCAAAACCTATTATCACGCTTCATCCCGCAACCAAGATTGAGCATTATGAAGATCATTGGCTTGGTATAGTGTTTTAAGTTTTAGTTGTGTACTTTATGTGTTTATACTTTAAACTCAAATCATACTCGTACACGTTTTCTTGATTTATCGTATCATACATCCATTTGAGAATATATTGTGTTTTTGGATTATTGACTTAATGATAATTTTTACATCTTTTTTAAAGTCCATTAATCCACTAAAAAGAATTTCAAAACTTGTTTGAAAGAATTTCATCAAAATCAAGTGTTTAACAAACTCGTATTTTTAAACGTTTTGCAAAATGATGAGTTTTCACAAATGGAAAATGTTATTTTAGAAATTTCTTTTCTAACATGTTTATTTTCATATATATAAACATTTCCCCAAGTTTTACTATTTTTGGAGTTGATTTACTATTTTTTATCAAATTTAGAAAATCAAGTTTTCAGCAGTTTAAGTATCTTAAAAATCAACTGTGGTCGACTGATTGACTCCACCAGTCGACCGATCAGAAGAACTTTTCAGTGTCTGATTTTTCAGTCTTACCAATCCACTGATTTATTAAATCAGTCGACCGAGCACAGTGTTTTCAGTCGACCGATTTTTCTTATCAGTCGACCGATTCCGGCTGTCTGCTTTTGTATATTGTAACGGCTATTTTATCAGTCGACTGATATTCTTAATCAGTCGACTGATCTGCCTTTTTCATTGTAACGACTAGTTTTTGGCTGCTTTGATTTTGAGGCTATAAATAAGCCTCAAGCCTTAATTTTTTAGAAGTTTTTTTTTTACAAGAGTTTACAAGGGAGCTTTTTCGAGTTTGTTTTAAGGGTTTTGAGAAAGATCAAGTTTGCAAAAAGAGTTTTACAAAGAGAATGATTTCAATTTCGATTTTGAGGAGTTCAACCTCAAATCTCTATATCTACATCTTTTTGTTTAGAGAAGTTTTTCTAAACTCATTCTCTAGCTAATTTATAATTTGATTATTATTTATAAGCTAGATTTATTTGAGTTTAATTTCGCTTTTACTCATTGTATACACACACAACCACTTAAGCTTTAGTATTTCACATATTGTATATTTGGATCGTGAGGTTGTTTCATTGAGAGAGCTTAAATTTCATTCTCATTTGACTTAGAGAATAAATCATTTATTTGTACTTATTGTTGAACACATTATAATATGCAAGAATATTTAGAGAAGTGGTTGGGAGAGACCGGGGTTAATTCCAAGAGGAGTGGGTTGGTAGTAAAGCCTACGGAGAGGTGGTAAATTCAAACACTTGAGAAAGGTAACACGGGTAGGCCAACACTTAGAGGAGTGTAGCTTGTGGGATTGACAACGTGTGTCTTGTAAGTGTTATCGGTGAACGTTGAAAATCGTTATTGTGTAGTTATTTTGTGAAATAGTGGAGAATCTCCTTGAGCGAGGAGTGGAGACGTAGATCGTGAGTTGACCGAACTCTGTGATCAATTCTTGTGTTTGCGTTTGGCTTTGGCGTATATTTTCTCTTATATCTTGTGCTCATTGTTTATATCGCCTATTGTCATATTGTTCCTTGCATATCCTTGCATATAAATTGTACATCATATTGTTAGGATATTGCATTGTAAAATTTTAATTTGGTATCGATGTCGGATTAGATTAGCAATTATCCTATTCACCCCCTCCCTCTAGGGTACTTTCAGCTTGTACATGACTAATCCATGTATCAAGCTCTTATGACCATGGCTCTACTGGTCAAGACTCCACAAAATTTATATAAGGTTAGATGATCCAAATACTTAGCAAAAAGCCAAAAAAAAAGCCATAGATGTTTCTCAAGGTCGAGGAAAATTCAAACTAACTATCTTGCCACCGGAAAATTTATAGTTGAGTACGAGTTACAACTCTCCATGCCCAAGTATTAGCCGCCTTGAATTGCTCAATCCATGTTCCAGCTCAATTTTTTTGGAGTTCACAGGAACAAGAAATGAAGAAATTCAGGAACAAGTTGCTTCTCCAAATAGGTTAAACAGCAACTAATTGAATACAAGTACTCGGGCTAAAAAGCGCTATGTAGGTCTACTTACCCGGGAATACTTAATTGACGCCTAAAGGGGCCTAGACCACCTAACTAACTGCCTAATCAAATTGCCTTGAAGTTTAAACCACTTAAAGGGCCACTTATATAGCCACCTAGCAACTTTTTACAATACTGGCTAGGAATGAGATGCTCGTACAAATAGGCTATCCATGTTAGATATAGGTGCCCTGCAGGCAATTATTGTATATTATAACAGGACCTATATGTATATAACATCCTTGTTCAAAATGATAGTATGCTATTTTGGTCAGATTTATCTGATGTTCTAAAAATACAGATAATGTCCTTAGAATAAATACTAGACTATCAGACATTTCGGATAGTGATCGTAATGAAGAGATCTGATTAGTCGGTAACGTATATTCTAAAATGTTCCTAGTTGATGAAGTGTTGAGATAGGACATCATCACTTTGGTTTAGACTAGTGTATGCTTTATTTCTCCTTTTAAGGAGATGATCAATCTCTTAGATCATTGATGTGAGACATCAAGATACATTATACAGGTGACTCATTAGTGAATGAGTTGACTGAACGACTCGCCGAGAACATCTAGTTGGTAATATACTTAACTGTCAAATAGAAGTTCTCAAGTGATATAGTACATAGTAGTCTCTTGACCTGAGGCATGAGTTCAATATCTTATATGTCAGTAAAGATGTATTTAGACTTTTACCTAACCACAGTTCTTATTGAATTGTGCATAACGGTTCTTGTTGGGTACATCCCGAGACATAAGTAGATATTGAGATGCCAAGAAGGGATTCGTCTCTCCCAGTATAGGGGTTGATGTCATAAGATTGTTTGATATAACTATAGCCTGGAAATCCTTGGCCAAGGTGAATAAGATAAACTGAGTGTCAGTTTGATCTTATAGGTTATGAGTTTAATATCAATAAACACTAATCAAGCTATTAGGGTTTGACAGTTTGCCATACCCTAGGCTCAATAGTTTGACATGGTTTGACGAAGAGACCGGACTGTACGGTATTATCATTGAGTGGTCCTGATAAAATTGGATAAGCATCTTGCAGACCTTTATCACAACTTATACCCGGGTGGTCTTCATGTGTAGCTAGCACCTCTGTTGTACTTATGGATATGATCCACTACCGAGTTTTTTAAGTTGGGCCCTAGAGTCACACCAAGCGCGTACTTGAATCCTATGAAACACAATTTATGGAGTGATGCGTATGATTGATACGCATATATGATTTCTTCCGGATACACATAAACGGTTATGTATATCGGTAAAATCGGAATGCTATGTGCTTAGGAAATAAATTCCAGTATTTTTCCCATAAAGTTAACTTTTAGTCAACTAGTTGACTTTTTGGTCAACAGTTGACTTTTGGTCAACTCTTGATTTATTTGGTCATATAGTGACTAATTAGTTAAAGATTGAAATAATACTATATACTGTATTTATGAAATACTGTATTAGTGATAATAAATTGGTATTCTCATTTATGAAATACACATACCATGTATAATGAGTCATGAGATGAGTCACTTAGTGGTATGGTTTGAGCACATGGTTTATTAGCACATGGTTTTGAAATGTAATGATTCATAAGATGATTCATTGCATGACTTACTTGATTAATCATTAATTTTTGATGATTCATTGCATGACTCATAGGATGAGTCATTCATATCATGAACACATTTCACTCTATAAATATGAGCTCTTTTTTCTTATGGAAAGGTTAATGAAAAATTGGCTAAGTGTTTTTTTCCATAAGAGAATAAAAGAGAGCTCTCCTCTTACTAAACTTTAGCAATCTTTGAGCAAGAGGAAGTAGTAGGATTTTAAGAACCCCGGGGTGGATATCTTGCCTTGTGTCTTAAGAAGACTCCCATTTTATCAAGCTCACTTGAAGACTTGGAGATCCACTACAAGGAGATTTTCTACTACAAGGAGCAAGAGCTAAGGGTTATTCGATCTTCCATCGAATCACGCTACGAAAGTATGATTTTCTAACTCTTGTATGCTCACTTAATAATAAGGATCATGTTAGATTTAATTAGACGATCCATATTAATATTTCATGCTCTCTACATGCTTAGTATTTTTGTACATACATGTCTTCCGCTGTGTATTATGCATGTAGACATAGCACGATTTCCTTCAATCCAAAGTTCCAAACCATTTGTATTACTTAGTTATAAAATTAAAACACATTTCTCTAGCTCTTGAGATCAGAATGTATTTCCTACTTTAAGATATTAAGAGTCACCTTGAAAGTAATGAAGTTAAACAAATTCGCTAGAATGGTAACTGAACATATACAATTGAACAATTCCAGATGATCCTTTCCACTTGATACCTTACTTTCCTGCTCTCAGGATATACACAAAACTTTCAAACAGAAAGTTAAAATCCAAGACAGTAACGGTGATAATGTAATTGAAAACTCAGGCAATCTGTTCAATATAGTTAACCAAATTACTAGGTAATCCAAGTTGACAAATAAAAAATAAGAGGCGTGTATCACAGAATTTAACTTGAGTTCAAATATTATACATGTCAATAGGATTAATAACTATTGCAGTTGATGAGAAAAGTTTAAGACCCAACATACTATCAAAAATCTAAATCTACATCAGTACTCACAGCTGAATTGTTAAATATGAATGAAGGAGCTGTAGAAACAGTAGAATAAAGTCCATAAAAAAAGTTTGCATCCAAAGGTTGATAGGCAAAGTAAAAACATATTCAATCAGAGGAAAATTAGTACCGCTCAAGCATGATGATATAATGAGAACCAGCTTGGCGAGCTCGTCCACGTGACTGAACATAACTACAAACTGTTTTTGGCAGGTCAAATCGTATCACACAGGAGCATTCTGGAATGTCAAGACCCTCTTCAGCTACATTGGTGGTGAATACTAAATTTACCTACATCAAAGAATAGCAGCTAAAATAAGTGTACTCGCTTCAAATAATTTCTTTCTTTTGTTTCATAAAACAATTATAGTGTTTGAACTAGTTGTTACCCGTGCAATGCGCAGGATTAAATTAATATTCTTGTACGCATCTTAGACTTTCAGGTAAAGAGAGGATAAAATAAGATTTTTTTGGAAAGAGAGAACAAAATGAATGATTTATAGGAAATTGAAAGACAAAGAATAGGGATGTTCAAGATGTAAAGAGTAGTGGATTAACATGAGATGGTAAAAAAAAGGATCATTAGTTATTATATGTTAGAGCTCTTGCAATTTGCCAAGTGGCAAAAATATGCAACTAGGTTTTTACTTTATTAGTAAATTAGGAGATACATGGTAAACCTTTCCAGATCGAAATAATTCCAAAGTTTCCTTTTGCAGTTTTTGAGTTAATGCCTCTGCAGAATTACTCCCTCCAGTCAAATAAGAAACTTTTAGATGCGATAAGTAACTGATTTTCTTAATAAAATGTTGTATAACTGTAGCTGTAATGATCCTTTCCACGAAAACAAGGCATCGAACTTGATTAGATCTGCAAGAGTAAATTATGAGTTGAAACTAGACAGTTGTGGCAAAGCGATAGGTGAGGAAGTGTAATACTATAATAGGAAGATTACTGCTTACGGAAACGTTTTCAGAATTTGCAGTAGTTCAAACAGCTTGGGTGTGATGTAGCCCAACTGTATTGCATTGAGCCACCCCTGTTCAGTTTTAAGAAGCATTTCATAACCTGATACATATGTCAGTCAATGTATCAGTATAGCTTAAAAAAATGGTTAAACCGCAAAATCAACAATACAAAAATGGCAAACATCAAAATTTATTCAAACATTAGAAAAGATAATTTGTTAATTTGAAAAATAAAGAAGAATTTGCAATTATGAAATAATTACAAACACAGGTTTTCATGTTTATAATACAGAAGTGGATCGACGATTCGAGATGCTACTTAATGATCCACATACAAATACCTGCCCTCCTACTTCTCACTGAAAGCACAAAGGTGCAATAACAAGAAAACATACATGAGCAGCATTTTTTTTTTTTTTTGGTATTTTTGGCCAAAGCAAAGATTGAGTTGATTCTTCTTAGGTTAAAAGAGTTAGCACAGGATTAAAGCTCACGCCTCATGCTTCCCTTTACCCCTGCGTCATGTACCCATGACTCTCCTAAAACCTACTGACCTCCGCAAGCACAGTACCTACCTCAGGTGCAAATCCCATCTTCACCGCCATACCCCTCTTCCCTCCCCTGGTTATGACCACAGATGGTCTAATTTGATCAGCTCCAAGACAAACCATATTATAGATAGGCGTTGGGGCACTTTGTGAAAGAGATTATTGGACTTTTCCGCTACAGAATGCATATATGCTTGACAATAGTGGCCCTTCAAAGGAATTCATTGTTGCCTCATACTCTTGATGACTTAGTTAACCTAAGGACAGATATGATTTTCTCCCTTAGAAGATGCAATCAGATGCCTTTCTAGTTCCTTTGCAAAATCTAGGCTCATCTGTTCTAGCACCATTCACTTAGGTGATAACAAAACTATTCTATTTACTAATTTACGTTCTCCTATTTCTGAGTCTTTTATTTTCTTTGTTGATGGTTATTCCATGGTCGTTCTTGGCACCACAATGTTGGTCCAACTTCGTCACTTACGTGTCTAGTATGAAATATGTTAAAGATGTTCCTTCCAATTTTTTTTCTGTTAGTCACTTGACGAAAATTTAGAATTGTTCTGTAACTTTATATGTCTTTATACGTGTTTCACAATCTTCAAATTAAGAAGTCGATCAGTTAAGGCATCAACGTCATAGACTTTATTGTCTTCAAGTCAATCATCCCTTTCTTGTGGTTATTATTGATTTATTGTTGCTACATCTGAGTTTTAGCCCTTCAGTCGTACTACCATTTAGGTCATTCTTCTCTTTGGCTTTTACATTTTCTAGTTCCTTCAACTAGACATGTATCCAACTTAGAGCATGTATCTTGTCAGTTAGGTATATATTATTGGTCTTCTTTTGTATCAAGGAATGAATTGTTGTAGCCCCTGGTGGAGCCAAGACTTGGAAGTGTTTTTTTTTTTTGAGAGGGTGGGGTTGGGGGAGGGGGGGGCACTCTTGTTTTTTCTTTTATAAATATTAAAATAATTATGACAATAATCGCATTCAATAATATCAACAATGCTTTGAGAGAAAAGGATATGCGTTCAAATTTTTGTACAAAGAACCACTTATTAATTTTCACACAAAGACATTGCTCCATTCATTTTCCCTCGGGACCTAGCCACTACACTGATATTAAACAAGGGATTTTTATATTAGTCCCTTAATCTTTCATATTTTGAAACTAGTGCCAATTAGGTTCCTTACTTCTTTTGATTATACTCTCTAATTATTGAAATTTCCAGTAGATGCCCAAATTCTTAAGCTATTTCGAAATTAATCCCATCCAAATAAGAGTAGAAATAGCAATCAAGCAATTAATTTGAAGGAAAAAAGAGATTAGGGGACTTGATAGTCCATAACTAAAGATTTTACTTGGTAATCCCTCCAATTGCTACTTCCACTCTTGTTTGTAGGGACTAATTTTAAATATAAATTAAAATCAAGAACCTAATAAAAATTTCAATGAATTGACGGAATAATTTCAGAAGTACTTAAGAATTGACAGGCCAAACATCAATTTAAAATCATTTGAGAGACTAATATTAAAAACACATTAAATGAAAATTAAAAAGGTCCAAGCATCCTACTGAGTCTTGCGGCAGGCTAGGAGGCACGTGACCCCTTGGATGCCCTTTGCCTATGGTTGTAGCACTTCTTTTGGAATAATTCATACTAATACCAAGAGTGCTACTTGAGTTAAAATTCTATGTAGTTTTTCCTTTTTTGCAACTTAATTGATGATTATTCCAAAATAACACGCTTTTATTAAAATATTAATTAAAACTTTTTTCTAAGTTTACTAAGTTCCATCAAGAAATTATGAATAATTTTGGGTACTCTTTTAAAATTTTATGTTCTATGAATGATATGGAATATAAGCAAATTGTTTTCAGACTTATTATTCCTCACATGATATTCGTCATCAAATATCATGCTAAGAGACCATAATAAAATCCTCACTTTCTTGATATTTCTCAAACCTTGTTGATTCATATGCATCTTGTAAATAATTTTTTTGGCACGGGGGGTGGAGTTTATGCTTTACTGCATCTTATTTGATTAATCGTACATCTTCCTCTGTTTATTTCATGTTTATGATAGAACTAAATTTGTATGATTTACCTGCAAAGGTGTGTGAATGTTTTTGTTTTATTTGTGACGAAACCAAGAGGTGAAAGTGGATCATAAACTTGTTCAATTTGTGTTTTCAGACCATTCTATAACTCAAAAAAGCTACTGTTGTTGAAATTCCAACTGAAAGTATGTGGTGTCTGCCAATGTAATTTTCTTTAAAACTACCATACTTTTAAGTTTTCTACTTCCTCTACAATAAAATTTGTAAATATGATGTCCCACGTACCTACTCCTGCATTCCCGATAAACCAAAAGAACTATTATTTAGGTGTATCAAGCACAGAACAAGTAAGGCTGCAGAAAGCGAAAAGCAGACTGTAGCGGTGAGGCATCGCTTAGACTTTATGGGGCTTAAGCGGTTCAAACAGAAAAAGTGCCAAGGAAAAAAGTGGTCGTACCCGATATTAACCCACTTAGACAAAAGCCTATATAATAGGATAAAATCCCTAAAAATTTAGAAAACATTCTCCAGGACCCTAGCGTGCAACTATCCATGGTTAGGAAGGAGTTACAACTATCCATGGTTAGGAAGGAGTTACAGGCTTTGTTGACACATCATTTCGGTATCTTTGATAGCACACACCTAAGGCGTAGTAAAAATCATCTTTTATCTCATTCTCATGTCACATCTATTCCTTTCTATTATTTGTCGATGTCAACTGTTATATAATCGAAATAAACATAATGTAAATATGCTACTTGGCTAAGAAAACTTCTTTATAGTGATGTATGAACCTAATATCTTTATAATATGTTCTCACACCTTATTAGTCCATCTCTTACATCTAATTCAGTTTGAGCATGCACCATTGATCAAAATCGATAATAGAAATCCATCTTTTCTATAGTTTGTTAGTCAAGAACCCTAAATCCAAACTAAATAGAAATCTTGATCCTATGATAGTTAAATGGTCACCTTTCAATAAGTATAGGTCAGGTAAATAATCACAAGTCTTAACGATAGTGAAACCCTTTTTTGAAATCAACTAAAAATAGGTTAAAACTAGCAAAGTCAACTTTCATTAGCCCAAAGCCAACTTTACCTGCAGAATTAGAAAATCAAATTGTAGTTTGAACCCTAAACCTAAAACTAAATTTCCAGTCACGAAAGCCAACTTTGTACCTTGTAAGGTCAACTTTCCAAACCTACAAAGCCTACTTTCAAATGCACACACCTGTTTTTAGTTATTGAGTGGTTGTTTTTGACACATAACTTTCACGTATGATCATGTATATGTATGAAATTTTAGATCATGTTTAAATAGATAACTAGAATGTGTTGGACCCCTTTTGGGATATAATTAACTTTCACATTCCCATTTTACCCTTTTGAATAAATTTTCAAATATGAAATAATTGCGGGAGTCAATCCAAGCTCTACCTTAACTTGAGAGTTATGTCACTCACACACCAAAGCATTATGAGCATCTAAAACGAATATACAATGATTCTAATCATCAATGGTTCAAATTTAGGACAATATTAACCCTTTGCCCATCGCTTGCATATGCGACCCCATATTAGGAGTTCAAGAAGGTCGGGTGTTTGTCACAAGCAACACGGTAAACATATGCTGAGATGGTGGAAACTTGTTGCCCAATAGAATTGTGGTATAATGCTGCGAAGCGAGAAGTTGCTAATCTGACCTAAAATTTTTAAATTTTGCATTTATTGAATGTCCTAGAATACGAGACAATCTAAATGTAGAGATTTGCTCCCTCCATATGAAGACTATGAAGACACTATCATTTGACAATCAACTCACTATATAGCATAGAAATACAGGGGCTAGATAACATCATTTGTAGTCAACTTAAAACTTCTTGTAGTTTGCAAATTTGGGTAAGCATGGGAAATGAATAAAAATTGAAATAAATTCCTAAGGTGATAATATCTTTTGTCAGGCGTCTCTCGAGAAAGAGAGCAAACCACTATTTTATTATTATTATCTTAACCGCTTTAAGACGAGTGCGTTAACATCCTTCTCCATGTAACTTAAACATATAACCGTGATTAATAGGTTTTTTTGACGCACATGCTTTTTTTTTTGAGATAGAGGTTCTCCATATAGTTCAGTTGTGTATGAAATAAACAATTGGAAGGAAATTGTTCGTATTGACACATTATATCATTGTTCTTAATATTGAGGCACCATCGGCCTTTGAAGAAGAACGCTCTCTAGTTCTCCATGAATGCACACCACATGTTCGACAAAAAGCCACATTGGAGACTATCATCTCTCAGTGCGAGGAATCTCAGCGCACTACATCTCTCCCTGTACCAAAGGAGTTATCTAAGGCCCCTCACCCCCATCTAATTGCCCAATCCCCACAGCCATTCCTCGGATGCTCATCATGCCGCCAGACCAACCCCAGATGCACGTATGCTGGGTCGACTATCTCCTCCCCTCATTCCCCTTCAATAT